GATAAATCGATCCTGGGCTTGAGTTGTCGCCCTTGGTCGACCTGAGCGTGGTCTGTCCTGTACAGATTGTGTATCACGGTATCTGGACCATAGCCTGCTTATGATAGACTGAGAAACATTCATCGTCCGCGCCACAACCGCCTGTGTTGTGCCGATCTGTAGCATGCCAAGGGCACGTAACCTTTCATTTTGGGTAAGCCGACGCATATCAAAATTTGTTTTCTGGTCACTAAAACAATTAAACTGATGTTTCCACCCTGGAATTCAATGCCACAATGACTGTAACATTCAAAGTCAGAGTCGTGCAAATCTTGGGTTGGACCCCCATGATGATCCCAAGCATCACCTGCATTCCATGCGGTAGCTATTGGTGCGTTTGGGCGTCACATGTAACTGGAAATGTTTCTTCTGTTAGGTTCTATAGTGACTTTTTTCGTAGTCATTTGCATATTTTAGTATTATGCCCCCAAAATCAAATATCCCCTACTTTTTTTGAATAGTATAGTATATTAATTTTTGGATATGGCGGCCATTTAGGACAGAGATCTATTCTCGGAGTATGAAGTAGATGGATCTCTGTGTGCAGAATGCTACTTTTCTTCACCAAGGTGGCTGGTTGGCCGATTGGTCTAATGAAATGAAATGGGGTTTAGTGTCCTATTTGTCTGTACCGATTTGGCTAATGGAAACGAACATAGTCCATGCAGTGCGTTATGGTCCATTCTTATTTCGCATTCCAACTAAACGTTCGTTTTCGGCCCATCCAACTACTAGACGCCGTTCAGTACAATTCCATCTTTCCGAGGGACATAGAAATGGAATGAAATGGATTTTAACGTCCTACTTTTCTGTTCCGACTTGGCTAATGAAGAATGGCGTACGGCATACAAAAATGAAATGGGGTTTAACATCCTACTGTTCTGTTGCGGCGGGGCTAATGAAGTCTGGCATACGCCACAAGTGTGCTATCGGGGACATTTGTCCAGGACAGCGGCACTACGGCCTACTCAAATTCCAACTTTACTGTCAATGGATCTTTTATGTTCACGCCAATGTGCACAAAGGCTTTGGGTTATCATACCATCCAAACGACTAGACTTTGTTCAGCACGAGGCCTCCTTCCGCGGGACTAATAATACAGTCGTCTAATGATATATATTTTATTGTATATAGGTTACCTTCTAGCCTAAAAACATGCTTATATCTTACCATTCATATTAAAAAAAACATGTATAAAAATGATAAAATTTATATAAACAAACTTGAGTTCGTATCTGATTACAGATTTCAAAAACAGACACGTGATAGCATCTTTATACATGTGAGAAATGTCTAGTTTATTTTATTTATTTCAAATTATCTTCTATTTATGTTCAGTCTATATATGTGTAACCTGGATTTACAGAAACTTAAAGCCACAGTGTCTCAGTAAGTAAGACGTTGGTTCGCTGACCTGGAGGTCCTATGTTCATCGGGATTTTCCGGCGTGGTTCCCCCCTTGTCAGTGGTGGAGCTGGTTTGACTAGGGGCGTTTAGTCGTCCGGATGGTACGAACAACTGAGATCCCATGTATACATTGGAGCGCATGCAAAAGAGTCCTTCGCAGTTTTGAATGCGAGGCCTTCGTGCCGCTGTCGGGGCAAAATTTCCACTATAACACACTTGCCCGTCTAAATTAGCAGAAAAGTATGACGTCAAACCCAATTTCATTTTTATTTCTTTTGAAATAGAATTGAACCATACGTTAGTCCCGAATTGACCTAGTTTGTGTCGAGTAGACGTTTAACCTCATTTGACACCCATCACCGCCTCTCTCTCACCAACCGGACTAATACAGATAGGCATGGGTCATCCAGTGGTCTATGAGGGAAATCTTGTCAAGACAGAGGCGGTACCGTCTAAACTGTACACCAATGTGTACACGGAACCTCGGTTTTACGTCCATCCGAACGACTACGCCATATTCCTGGCTAAAACATTCATCCTGCACCCGTAACAAGGGGAAACACGCTGGGGAATTCTGAGGAACTTTCTCAGCCGAGATCGGGATCGAACCAGTCATGCGATTTAGGGGTGGAACAGACCTAAATTCAGGGAGGGGGGATGCGTGGTCGAATGGTTTAAAGGATGCGTTGTAGATAATGAGATTTGTCATTGCACAAAGAGGCGTGGTTTCGATCCCAAGCTTGTACGTGACAAAGATTTGGGGTCTTATTCTCAACCTCGTGGGTTTTCTCCGGATCCCACAGTTTCATCCTATTGTTAAAGACCACTACTCACAGGTTAGGTCTATTTTCCAAGGCCACCTGCAGGTTTCCTCAAGATCCCGAGATGTAAACAGGGCTAGCGCTAACCCTAACTCAAGACCTAGCCCTATTGCATTGTCTCTCTCTGACCCTAACTCAGTACAAACGAACGTTACAGTTTGTCATCTTCGCGAACCAATATTTAGTATGACCGTCTATCATTACGAACGTCAGCGAGGTCAAACCTGGCTTACGAAGACAGGTACTTGAAACTAAATATAGTGATGATAGAATGGCAGATGTTATGCATGTTTCTATTGTCGTTATATATCAGAGAGTTGAACTTATTAGGTTAATGTTTTAACCGGGGTTTAAAAGTAGAATTTTATAATACACAGCTCAAGTTAAATAAATTATACCATGGTTTGTTTGGGGGGTTTTTGTTTTGTTTTGTTTGGTGTTTTGTTTTGGTTTTTTTTTGTCTTAAAGGAAACACACAAGACCTAACTCACTGGCGTCTATAATCAAAGGAGCCAAGCCTTTAACGCAATATCATCCACAATCTTCGGCATTGTAAACACGTCAGTTTAAAGGAGCTAAGTCGCTAATATTTGCGACCTCGAAATTGACACAAATTGGTCGCAACGCATACAATAATGCAATATGAATGTATATAAATTGATTTACATTCCATCGTTTCTGTTTTTACTGTAATTTCTAATCAGTTAGGTTCTGCGAAATACGCCAGTATTATCAATCGAATTTCAATCTCTAGCTTCTGGTTATTCCAGTCTACGCCGATAGTATTTATTGGGCATGCTTTCCAGATAAAAATATAGCGTTACCGTTTGACATGACTTGTGGAATATGCCTAGCCTCGTTTTACGAGTCACTTATTACAAATAGCGCTGAAACGCATTATTGTACACGATTCGTGTACCAATTGTAAAATGTTTATTTTGTCTTAAATATTGGATATCAGAAGGCCATCTTTTCCCGGTAAGATCACAAAATAAATGTTGATTTAAACCGACAAATAAATCGTGTTTTCAATGTCGAAGATGTTGGATGATATTGAGTTAGAGACTTAGCTACTTTCAATCAACATTGATGTTTTTTATCTCATCGTGAAAAGTTAAGCTTCTGATATCCAATATTTAAAGGTCACCGGAAAAGCTTCATAATTTTTTTTAAATAATGCAAGTATATTATGTCAACCCGAATGTCAATATTACCTGCAACAGATGAGCTGCTAAAATGATGTCATGGATTGTTTATTGACGGAAAGTTACGACTACTCACGGGGAACGGCGGAAATTACTAACGTTGAAATTTACCTGTTGCAGGTAATATTGACATTTGGGTTCGTGTTATACTTATGGAAAGGATATGTTGACATAATTACTTGCATTATTTAGAAAGAAATGAATCTTTTCCGGTGAACTTTAAGACAAAATGAAATATTTGAATGCTTCCAAGCGCCATTTGTATGAAGCGCCATTTGCATGTAGGAGAATACTACTGGTGTAGACTAAGATTGCCATTCACTTCGGACTCTTCGCATTTTTCGCCGAACATAACTGATTAGAAATTACAGTAAAAACAGATACGACTGAATGTAGATCAGTTTATATACATTCATTTGTGTCCAGGTGCTAGAGTATAGAGATTTAGCTCCTTTAATGTCGAAAATCTTTTTAAAATAAGCTGTGGACATGTTTCATCAGTTTGATATATAACCGTCCTGGTAAACTCACGTGTCCAACTAGTGAGGGAGCCAGAGTGGCTAAGTGAGTAAGACGCTGGCTAGGTAGCCTGGAAGTCACAGGTTATATCCCGGTGTTGACCGAGAAAGTTTAGCGGGATTATCCGTCGTGGTTTCCCCTTATAAGTGGTGCAGGACAGCTGTCTAGTAATTCGGATGGTACGAAAAACCGAGGTCTCTTGTACACATTGGTGTGCACGTAAAAGATCCCTTGGCAGTTGGAATTCGATATAAGAGTATGCCGTAGCGCCGCTGCCCGGACAAAATTTCCCTCATAGTATTCCCGTCTTCATTAGCCCAGTCTGAGCAGAACAGTAGGACGTTAAACCCCAATAGGTTTTTAGTCCTTCTTTATCATTTTTTTTTCAAATATGGCTGCTTCCAAAACGGACTCAATATTTCAATGGTTTTGATAAGATAGATATTTCTGAAATTTGGAAAGAAGATTTATGGTTTATTCGTCTAAAAATACACTATTTTATCAGTTACAAATCTGAATAAAAAATATTGTTTTGAAAAAAAGTTCAAATGTATGTTTTGTGCTAGAGAGAAATATGGTTTAACATTTACTATACACAAACTATATCATCTTGGGACTAACATATGGTTTAACATTTACTACACACAAACTATATCATCTTTGGACTAACATATGGTTTAACTTCATTTCAATAATTTGCTTGCTCTTGCAGGTTTTTAGCAGTCGGTGGAAACCGGAGAAAAACAGTGCGGTAAAACAAATCCAGAACGATCCTGTCGATCGTTTTGAAAGTTTTCTCCGGGTCCTCCGGTTTCCTCCCACTGCTAAAGACCCCTACGCGCAAGCGAATTATTGAAATAAAATGAAACCATATGTTAGTCCCGAAATGACCTAGTTTGTGTCGAGTGGACGTTAAACCCCATTTCTCTCTCTCTCTCCCGTTTTGAAAGTGGCTCAATAGCCCACTAGCCCATTACATAAAACGTGTTTGTTTTTTTGTTTTTTTCAGTAATACACCATAGCATGGCTACGTGTGACGTGTCCTATTGTGTTCACGTTTTATACAGCACCAGTAGTTTAGCTGTCGACAAAATTTGTCCGTGAGTATTCTAGGGGGATAAGTGGGTGGGGCGGGTGATCTAGCAAGTGGGCTGTGGGTCATTAGGTCTGTTAGTTTCAGGGGGTTTGGGGCGGGCGAGTTTTCTAGTAAGTCCGCTGTAAGTCATAAGGTCTTTTAGTTCCAGGGAGTCGAGATCGAGTGATCTACCAAGTGGCCTGTGAGTAATTAGCTATGTTAGTTCCTGGGGGTTTTGGGCGGGCGAGTTATCTAGTGAGTGCGCTGTAAATCATTAGGCCTGTTAGTTCCAGGGAGTCGACGTCGAGCGATCTACCGAGAGGGCTGTGGTTCATTAGGCCCGTTAGTCCCTCCAGGTGATTAGGGGTCGAGTCTTCTAGTAAATGCCATGTAGGTCATAAGGCCTGTTAGTTCTAGTGGAAGTGGACTCGATCTAGCAAGTGGGCTGTAAGTCAATAGGCCTGTTATATATGTATGTCATGGGTCCCACCCTGTGTTTATTTGTGCAAATCGGTAGTTTTCGTCGCGTTATCTGGTGTGTTTTTAAATACCTATCCCTCCCTTTAAACAAGGCAATTCACCAGAGAATAAAACCAAATATGGACTTATAACATTTGGAATTTCGGACATAAGCGTAGCTCCCAACCCGCCGTACGTACGTGCTTCTACGGGCAGTCTACGGCGGAAATTTTAGTAAACACGTGCATGAAACTTACGCGTTACTTACCTGTGTTCGGCACCATACAAGATCGCAGACTGGCCGTAGAGACCTTTGGTCCTGCACGTACAAAAGTTTCACCCGGTTTCTTGCGGCTGGTCTGCGAGTTACCAAACCTGCTTTATGATTAGAGACAGTTGGTATTTCAGCTTTAAATACAGTCGACATGAATACAGTTGAACATTTAGACTTACATGTAATTGAGACTACGGTAAATATATACTTATCCCAGAGATAGATAAATCTATCTCCACTGTATATATTATATATATATATATATATATATATATATAAATCCGTCCAGATAAAAAAATCTCCACTTATATATATATATACGACTGGTATATCCACTGTATAAGTCTGAAATGTCCTCTCTATAATTCTGGTATCTCCACTGCTCCACTGTATAAATCTGATATTATAAGTCTGAAATCTCCACTCTATATACGTCTGATATCCCCACTGTATAAGTCTGAAATCTCCACTGTAGAAGTCTGAAACCTCCACTCTAGAAGTCTAGAATCTTAAATGTATAATTCTTGTATCTCCATCGTAGAAGTCTAAAATCTCCATTGTAGAAGTCTAAAATCTTCACTGTAGAAGTCTGAAACCTCCATTGTATAAGTCTAAAATCTTCACTGTATAAATCTGGTATCTCCACTGTATAAGTCTATATAAGTCTAAAACTTTCCCAGTTAATTAAAATCTATAAAAATTTAGTATGAGATTTATTTTGCAGGACTTTACGATACGCAATGAGTTGTCTGGAAAATTTCGTTAAGAAATGTGAACACGTTAAGAATGATACCGATGATGTAAATGTTCGAGAATTTATGGAAGAAAGTCGAGACAAAATAGATGAATTGTGCAACATGCAAGGTAGGATGTTTTGAAATGACAGGGCTAGTTCCACGCGACATATACATGCATAAGGCCAACGTATGGACGAAACGCTGAGGTCCCGAGCACTCATAGGTGTGCACGTAAAAAAACCCTTGGCAGTTAGAAGTCGATATATGGCGTATGTCCGTATTCATTAGCCCATTCGGGACAGGAGAGTAAGGTGTGAGACTCCAATTTCATCATCGCGTGATGTACATAGTTTTTGCACTGATTTTTATGTGATGTGGTTCCGATTCTCCGCTTGTACGTGACAAGGAGTAGGGTCCCCCTCCTAGCCCGAACTGTTAAAGACCCCTACTCGCACACGAGTATTGAAATGAAATTGAACCATATGTTAGTCCCGAAATGACTTACTTTTCAAGCTCGTTGGTTTTCTCCCCCCCCTCCACTACCAAAGAACCCTACCCGTAAGCGAATCACCGAAATTAAGTTGTACCACATGTTAGTCCCGAAATGAACTAGTTAAACCCATTCTCTCTCTAACATCTATTTTACATCATTTCCCCTTTTCTGTAATTTCAGATGACCAATTAAATGGCGGGGCTGTGGTTGGACCATTGTGGGGTTTGTTATTATTAGTGGTCTGTGTCCGCCTCTTCACCAACAGAATTCTATAGAAAAACATGATAATTCTAGTTTCACTTTCATTAAGACTCTCTACGTTTATCGAACCAAGGGCAGATAATCTAATCAAGAATGATTGTTGGAAAAGTGCATTATAATCAAGACTAATCAAACCCGGAAGTCAACACAGAACCTAGCTGTTCAGTGTTGTTATGGATATCGCGTCTGAGTGCTGTGTGGAACTTTAATATATTTTTTATCTAAAACTAATCTGGACGCAGAAAACTTTTTCTTATGGGCTTAAATCTGGTATTGATAATCTAGATTTACTATGACCGAAAATGTAATCCGGAAGTTCATAAATCATTTCTCACCTTTCTTGTCATTGGCTGATCCAAAAATATGTGACTTGTATGGATGATTTTCCTGGTAACAGGTTCTGTGAGACGATTGGCTGTTCCGAAGACACGTGACCAATATCGATGATGTCCCTAATAGCAAGTCTTTTTAGGCTTTTACGGAAACACGTGATCAATATGGACGCTCTCCCTGATTACAGTGATGACACCATATAAACGAATAAGACCAGATCAATGACGGTGTCTGGAGCTTTCAAAACCCTTATGACATACGTCGTAAAAGATCCTTTCTTTGTGATCCTTATAAGCTCCGTCTACACTACTAAATATTTGTTTGCTAACATCACCGAACAACATGTTTGGCCATGTTTGCAAATAAAAGATTGACAGTGTAGACTGGCCTTTAGATTGTAAATATTCATGTTATGTTTTGCCCCGATCGTGAGCCTAAAGCCCCGTCTACACTACCAACATTTGTTTGCTTCCATCACCGAAGATGTTTGAAAACAAAATATTGGCAGTGTAAACTGACCTTTAGAGTGTATATATTTATGTTTTATGTGACCACGATTGTAAGCCTTATGCTCCTACGCGCAAGCGAATTATTGAAGGAAGTAAAAGTAAACCATGTGTTAATCCCGAAATGATAGCTTGTATCGAGTGGACGTTACCCCCCTCCCCCCTCTCTCTCTCTCTCTCTCTCTCTCTCTCTCTCTCTCTCATTTGTAAACGAAGGAAATAAAAAATCTCCGATCGTCATTTGTAGAATCGTTAATCATCCGCAAACTGTAATACTGGTATCGATGGACCCCCAAAAAGGTATAGTGGTTCAGGGGACAACATATATTCGTTCGGATGGGACGAAAAACCGAGGTCCCCTTACACATTAGCGTGCACATAAATGATCCCTTGACAGTTGGAATTCGATATAAGAGTAGGCCGTAGCGTCGCTGTCCGGGCACAATTTCCCTCATAGCACACTGTATGGCGTATGCCCGTCTTCATTACCCCAGTCAGTGCACTATGAACCGAGGTTTGACTGATTACTAAAGTCGGTACGATAAAAAACATAGTCTCGATTATCCATTTCATGATTTAATCATGAATGGAAGTCGAACATCAAATCGGAACCTAATCCAATAAACATCGAGAGTTAATTAATGTCTAATTTTTAGGCCTAATGAAAGACATGCAATAGGCATATTTAGCTCTTGCATAATGTATGTTTAAACGGGGATAATCGAGACTATGTTATTTATCGTACCGACTTTAGTAATGATTATCGAAGCTAGGCCGAAAATGCAATCGCTAAAATCTCGGTTCATAGTGGGCCAATTTGACTGAAATTTTCAGCAAATTCCCTTTACATTATCTAGTTTTTAGCTATTATAGTGAGAACTGTCAGCTCTTTGTCTAATCTCCCATAATGCATCTTTAAATCGTAAGATGTTGGATATTGCCCGACAAATGTAAATAAAAAAATACCAGTTGTTTAAATTCCCGAGGCGACAGTCAGATCGTGGATGTAATTTATATTTGTACGGCATTAAAAGTAAGTTGGTGAACGGAATCATTAATAAGATGTCGTAAAGATTGGATTAATATAGATTTGTGACAAGGCATTGTTATTATGTAGGGAGACATTAATAATAAATATACTTAACTTAATCGTGGCGTCAGCTGGGACGGAAATTCTCCAATATATATATTTGAAAATATATCAATAAGTGTGCTATAAAAACGTTTCAACGTTATAAGGGGTCTTTTGCGATTTGTAATCCCATCTGATCGACTAGACACTGTTCAATATATCAATAAGTGTGCTATAAAAACGTTTCAACATTAAAAGGGTCTTTTGCGATTTGTAATCCCATCTGAACGACTAGACACTGTTCAATATATCAATAAGTGTGCTATAAAAACTTTCCAACGTTCAAGGAATCCTTTCCGATTTGTAATCCTATCTGAACGACTAGACACTGTTCAATATATCAATAAGTGTGCTATAAAGACGTTCCTACGTTCAAGGAATCCTTTACGATTGGTAATCCCATCTGAACGGGAGGGGGGGGGGGGCTGAATGGTAGCGTGTGCGCGCTGTATCATAAAGTCTGACATTGAGTCAACTGGTGTGGTTTCGAATCCCCGGTTGTACGTGACAAGGAGTAGGGTCGCCTGTCCAACCTCGTGGGTTTTCTCCGGGTCCTCCGGTTTCCTCCCATTGCTAAAGACCCCTACGCGCAAGCGAATTATTGAAATAAAATTAAACCATATGTTAGTCCCGAAATGACCTAGTTTGTGTCGAGTGGACGTTAAACCCCATTTCTCTCTCTCTCCCATCTGAACGACTAGGCGTTGTTCTTCGTCAGACCATTCGTCCTGTATACCAATGACAAGAGGTAATTGAACCAGTTAATCTCGATGTACTTTAAATTCTTTGTCAACACCAGGATCGAACTCGTGACCTCCTGTTTAGTGAGTTGGATCCTAACTCACGGAACCACATCGTTAATTGTAACACGTCGTTAAACATATTGGTAGTCATCATAGTTAATTGGTGAAATGGAATGAAATGAAATAGGGTTTCCCGTCTTCATTAGCCCAATCGGTGCAGAACGGTAGGATGTTAAACCCCATTTCTTTTCATTTCATTTTGAAATGGGGTTTAACGTCCTTCTGTTCTGGCCGACTGGGCTAACCAAGACGGGCATACGCATTACAGTGTGCTATGAGGGCAATTTAGTCCCGAGAGCTGCGCTACGGGCTAAGCTTATATCGAATTCCAGCTGCCAAGGTGTATTGTTGTTTCCAGTTTGTCAATCCAGAATTTTCTTCTTGTTAGTCCAAACGTTTTAATTTCTTCTGGGGTTTCAAAGTCGCTCTTAGTCTTTTCTATTGGTGTCACAATGAGATCAAAAATGTCATGATTACGTGCTTTTGGGGTCTCCCCTACGTATTGTTTGTCACATTGTCTACATGAAATTAGATAAATTAAGTTTGAACTGCTGCATGAAAGTTGATCTAATATTGGGAATTGTGTGACAGATGTTTTGTTGCGGAACTGGTCGGATATGTTTCTGATTTTGTATGTTTGGCATCTGGGATGGCCAGAAGGTTTGGTTTTAACTGCTGATTGCATATTGTTTTTTCTTTGACGGCAAGTTCAGCTATAGAATCGTTTTTTATACGTTAGAAATACAATTTGGGGTATCATCTTTCTCTTAATGTGCTAAATACCAGCGTACATGCTGACTCAAAGTCGGCCTTCTGAGTATTTTTCAAAGAAACCGATACACATCAATGACTGTTCATATATGGAAACGGAGAATCTGAGATTTTATGATGCCAGAGAACGTATGCTTGGTTGAATGGAGCATTTGAACAGTAATTGATGTGTATCGGTTTCTTTGAAAAATACTTTAGTTTCCAACTGACCAGTGTTGTTGGTGTTACTACTTTTGGAAACGGTGTTGTCAGGAAAATCTATGCTGTTATAACTTACATTTGCGATTAATTTGACAAATGGATGATAATTGTTCATAATGTTAAAAAACGTCCAAAATTCGTCAAGTGTGTACGACCAGACTATGAAAACGTCATCTAAAATAACCTCCAAAGAAATCTGGTTTTAAGGGGCCATTTTCCCACTCCGCCATATTTGCATAACTCGAGGCAAATCGTTTTCCATATCGCTGTTCCGGAAGACTGAAAGTATACTTGGTCGTTGAATGTGCAGTCATTCCTCCTCAGACAGAGGTCGAGTAATTTGAGGATTTCTTCGTCCGGTACTCTGGTCTGGGTGCTTGAGGGTTCCTAAGAAATACCTACATAACTGCTTTAATACCTGCGTTATTATCGATGTTCGTGTACATGCTCTGTACCTCGATGGATATTAAAATGGTGTGTTCAGGGACTCTTAATTGTTTGATTTTGAGAATAAAATCGTTGATGCCTTTATGGTAGCATGCGTGTTGGCTTGCTAGTGCTAGTAAGAAAAGGTCTATATATTCTGATGCGTTGTATGATTCGCTGACACAGTCTGATATTATTGGGCGTCCCTTGGGTAATTTATTAGGTATAAACCATTCTTTTTCTGGATTCTTGTGTATTTTTGGTAGCGTTGAATGTCGTTGTCGGCAGTCAGATTTAGCGGATAGATAATCATATTGTTTTGCTGTTATGTATTCCTTGTCTTGCAATTCATGTAAAATGTTGTTTATTAAGTTTGTGGTGTCCTTAAAGATGGGTTGATCTAATTTAGTGTAATGGTTAGGATAACTTTATTGTTTTTCGGCCTCTGAGATATTGTCTGTGTGATTCATTATGACACAACACGAGCCTTTGTCGCTTTTCTTGATTATTATGTTTTTGTCTTTTTTGAGGGTATTTAATGCTGTTTTTGCGGCCCGGTTGAGATTTGATATTTGTGATCTTGGTTGACGGGATGACATTTCTGTGTTCATTTGGTCGAAAGTGCTGGTGATAATGAATTGATCGGTGGTTTCCATGTACATTTTTCTGTGAATAATTTTCTACCTCTGCCGGGTGTGTTCCTAAAAAAAATAAGTCAGTGAAAGAGTTCTTTGAAAGCGATCAGTTGCCTGAAATATGGGGTCTATGGGTGTTATTGTTGGAGTTAGAATAAACTTGAGGCCTTTGTCAAGTATGCTAAGTTCTAGGGGGCTGAGAAGTCTGTCGCTCGAATTTACTGTCTGTCCTAAAGAAGGCTTCATTTTTCTTTTCTCTGATTCTAGTTCAAATTCCCCATCCAGCAGTTGATGATCTTGCTCGCCGTGTCTGGGCTCCGGTGGATAGCGTCGTTTCCTTTCAATTCTACTTTGCCCTTGAAGCTTGGTAGTGTGGTGGCGTTTGGTGAAGGTGCAGTGGAGATTAATTGGTTGTAGCTGGTGATGTTTTGGTAGGCGATCTGATGTCTAGACGGAATTGGGAAGAAGTGGGGATCTGTGTGGTAAAGAGCTTGGTTGTTAGGAAAACTGCTCTTGTCACCGCGAGCAGATATAGCATCTGCTCGTGTATCCTTGATCCAGCTTCCTTCCTGTTGTTGAGTCCGACCTTTGACCAAATTTGAAGTTGGCCATATCAAATATAGATCTAACTGTGTTTTAAGATTTAGGTTAATTGTCCAGACGTTAATTCCTTGTACTGAACTTATTTGTCAGAAATATAAAAATTTAACGGGAAACAAAAAATAAATGAAGTTAATCTACTTTCGATCCGGCAACCTCAATCGATACATAATTGAAACAACGTTGACAATAGCAACTATGTGCGTGTTTGATGGAAGCAAAAATCTCAATAAATCCAAATCGGGAATCACTTTGAATTCCAGGGGAGGGGTGGGGTGGTTAACGCGTGGTCGTTGCATCAAAAGGTGTGTCATTAAAGTGAGTGGCATGGTTTGGATTCCCCCACTTGTACTTGACAAGGAGTAGAGTCATCCGGTTTCCTCCCACTGCAAGCGGATTATTGTTAGTCCCGAAATAACCTAGTTTGTGTCGAGTGGACGTTAAACTCTGCTTAGCACGCGGGTTTTCCTGTGGGGGGTGGGGTCTACCCGGCCTTGAGTAAGCGTACACCCACGGCCACGAGATTGAGAATACGCCCCTATGTCAAAGTCACACACGCTAGGGCGACACTATAGATCACTAGGTCATCCCAACCCGCCTGTAACCTTGCGTTTCTATGGATAGTGTTTATGGCTCAAGATTAAAAGGGGCACAACTCCTGTTTATAAATATTAATGTGTATAAATATATGTATCTAACTTTGACGGTTTGTGTTTTTTGTTGTTTATTTTGAAAAACCAAAGAATACAAAATACATTCGTGAATATATTTAAATGTAGTTTTTGTTTCGTATTAAATTAACGTCCATTTATTTTGTCGTAACACCTTTAACCAATATGATTAGATGCTCTATGTATGATTTATTGTTTTATTTATTTGTGTTAATTCGTTGAAACGCCGCATTGTAATAAACCAAGTTTATTTCATGATTAGATCAGATGTTTTTCCAATTCGTTTTTCGTTTTCTTTTGTTTTCTATTCCGTATTTTATATCATACCGGGATTAATTAATTAAACGAAACGAAATAAATATGTAATTTAATTAGTTTGACCGTGGCACTTCATGTCATTTGCGACTGCACAAATAAATCATGATCTATTATGCGCATGTGTAAATTTTGTGTGACGTGTTTACATTACCTTAGGGTTAAACTGTGTGACATTACATCAAGGTTAAACTGTGTGATTTGATGATATATTTGAACTAAAACATATTCAAACTATCTGTCAAACGTTTGCTTCAGATCCCTCTCAAAACATTTTAATCGGAAGAAAAATACCCCAAGGTGCAAAAATCTACAATTTGTCGTTTCTTACTGTCCATTTACCATAAATATCGAAGCCTAAGTACATTCTTGAATTTCCGCCGTTATCACAAGCTCTAGCCTTTCAACCAAGAAAACCAAGTGTCCCCTACGTCATTCTAGCAGAAAGCAAGCGGACGACATGTTAATGGCCCCTTACAATTTTCTCTTGTACGCGTCTCACGGGTGTTTTTCAGGGAATCCAGTATTTTCATACACCAAATCTGTCATATTTTTTATTAGAAATAATTATTCCATAAATACTTTCCTGGGAATGCAACTTTAACTCAGATCATGAGTTTTAATGAGAATGCGCATGTGCAGTCGATAATGATAACTTTGTGTCTATCAGTTGTTTTATTATGTATTAGCCTATTATTATTATTTATTTAGTTTCGACTTAATATCGACTAGCTTTATAATGATTTTATTGGATTTTGTTGTCTTCTTTGAAATAATTTTTTTTAAAAAAAAACCCAAAACAACTACTGGGTTAACTTCCACTTCGTCTGATAATGGCGAAGCCTCGCCAAGAGTAAATCCTGTAGATGTTTTTTAATAGAAATTTTAATTTGAAATATCCACTAATGTAATATGATATAAATACAATATAGAACTTTATCGTTTAATTTGAAATATCATCCTCTGTAATATTCAAATTGAAAGTCCCAAAATAAAAATAGTGTAATAGTAGTTACCAACGAAACGTCAAACTATATCTCCCATAGCAACCAGGCTTTATCACCCATAGCAACTCCAGACTATTTCTCCCATTGCAACATTGATGTTTACACACCCCAGACTATATCTCCCATAGCAACTGTTGATGCTTTCCTCACCTCCAGGCTATATTTCCTATAGTAACTATTGGTGTTTTACACACCTTCAGACTGTATCTCCCCAATCTGATTAAAACACAGATCCATTTTCGTTTCGTTTTTATAGTTCAAAATTTCGATTTTACTTGTCTTTACTACACTTGGATCTGGAAGCGTTGTTATTTAACTCGTGTTCTGCTTGAAATGAGGGGTCAGCCAATCAAATGGTCTGTCGAATCGAGCGTTTGACCTTTTTTTCGCGGAACTGTGGGTAGACATTAGCGGCAATAGAAATCAAAACAAAGCAAAAGTAGATAAAAAAAATACATGGCGGTCGCTAATTGGTTAATCGAATGACTGACGTAATCCGGTCAAATGTCGCTTACTTGGTACCCGACGTCATAGAACGTGAACTCCCACTATAACTTGTTAGATCTACATGTAGTGTAGGCCATCGAAAGTATAACAAGCCAACAGTGAGGCTGATGTCCCCCGCCGAAATAGGGAAAATAATTAGAGGACACATATAAAAATCAAATTGCGTATCGCTCTGCTTACCCTGAGCAGAAAATGCTCATTATCAAACTTAGTCAAGGTATTACTGTAATGAAACTATACACCAAGTTTCATCAATCTCACTTAATTAGAACTAAAGTTATCGTGTCCCAAAGCATCAACCAATCAAATTGCTTATCTCTGCTTACCCTAAGCGGAAAATGCTCATCTTCGAACTCCATCAAGGCATTGACCTAATCAACACATACACCAAGTTTGAACATTCTAGCTCAATTAGGAAGAGAGTTATCGTGCCCCAAAGTTTTAATAAATCAAATTGCTTATCTCTGCTTACCCTAAGCGGAAAATGCTCATCTTCGAACTCCATCAAGGCATTGACCTAATAAACACATACACCAAGTTTGAACATTCTAGCTCAATTAAAAGTTATCGTGTCCCAAAGCATCAACCAATCAAATTGCTTATCTCTGCTTACCCTAAGCGGAAAATGCTCATCTTCGAACTCCATCAAGGCATTGACCTAATCAACACATACACCAAGTTTGAACATTCTAGCCCAATTAGGAAGAGAGTTATCGTGTCCCAAAGCATCAACCAATCAAATTGCTTATCTCTGCTTACCATAAGCGGAAAATGCTCATCTTCGAACTCCATCAAGGCATTGACCTAATAAACACATACACCAAGTTTGAACATTCTAGCTCAATTAGGAAGAGAGTTATTGTGTCCCAAAAAGTGTGACGGACAGACAGACGGACGAACCCATTTTAATAGTCCCCTGCTTTCTTCGAAAGGCGGGGGACAAAAAACGAAACGAAATATAGATTTATATTTTAATTGGATTGGTATCTCCCATAGTAACTATTAATTTTAACGCATCTCCAGTCTATATCTCCTATAGCAAATACTGGTGTTTTACAAATCGCCAAAGTATATCTCCCATAGCAACTATTGGTGTTTTACCCACCCAGACTATATCTCCCATAGCAACTATTGGTGTTTTACCCACCCAGACTATATCTCACATAGCAACTATTGATGTTTAAGATGACTATTTGGGGTTCAGATTGGGGCAATATTAATCTCCAATAACCAATTGGTATGAATGAATGAATGAATGAATGAAATGGGGTTTAACGTCCTACTGTTCTGCTCCTATGCTGGCCTAATGATGATTTCACGTGGAAAAGGTAAGCATCGCTTGATACCTGGAGATAATTTTTATAGTCTGATAGCAACCCATTTCCACTGATATGAAGCGACCTTCCACTACAACCGGTCAGATCTTCATGTAAACGAAAGGAAACGATTGTGTCCCGTAACTATTATTGACCGTAGACGACAAGGATTTGGCAACATCTAGGTTCACCGTCCGCAGACTGCTGTGACCAGTGCCGGATTAAACTATAGGCTTTGTAGGCTGATGTCTGGGAAATGAAAGGAAATGGGGTTTAACGTCCTACTGTTCTGCTTCGACTGTGGCTAATCCAAACGGGCATACGCCATACAATGTATTATGAGGGAAATTTTGCCCGGACAGCGGCGCTAAGGCCTACTCTTCTATCGAATTCCAACGGCCAAGGGATCTTTTACGTGCACGCCAAGGTTATTCGTCCCATCCGAGCAATTAGACAGCTGTCCCTGTCAGGCCCTCCGTGCAGCACCATTGACAAGTTGAAACCACGCAGGAAAATCCCGGTGAACGTTCTCGGCCAACAACGGGAGCGAACCCGCAACCTCCGGGCTAGCTAGCCAGCGTCTTACTCAACTCACTTAGTCACTATGGCCTCCCCTGACGTCTACGAACTTAAGATCTAGGGGGCCTCAGGACAAGGTGCACAATATTTTTGACACTGTCATAAGCCTTTTTTTACACACTTCGACTTTGCTCAGTTGTGCTTAAAACACACTTTCATAGATGCCTTTATCCTTTCTAATAGACAAAATGGGGTAACTGTTCAACTAAAAAAGGAGATAACAAACAAGACAGTAGAGACGGTATAATACGGTCCTCAGAATCAGAATACATAAAAAAAAACAAAGAATCATATATATATCAGAATCATTTGTTGGACGGAATGTTCTGTACAGATAATACCTTTTTTAAAAACTTTAAATAGCAGTTTGACTCAAAGTAAAATATTCGTGGCCATTTTATTGGTTTTTAAACAAATAGAATGGCCACGAATATTTTAAGAGTTAAAATCCTGGTACATATTTAAACGAAATGAAATGAAATGGGGTTTAACGTCCTACTGTTCTGCCCCGAACTGGGCTACATATTTAAAGCTCTTGGGCCAATAAAAGAACAGAATTCTTAAAATATTTTAGTTTTTAAGTCTTCCCGGGCGCCTATTTATGTGACGTAACGTGATTATTGTGACAGACTTCAAATTCTTCTAGCGATTCCATGTCATCATCCCATTCATTAAAATCTCCACCATCTTCGGCTTGGTAGCGTTTATCTAGTGTGTCAAGATCTGCTTGTGTGATTCCCTCACCTGCTCCATTTTCCGCAACATTTTCAATGGGATCCTTCGTTTCGTGGACAAGATCAGGGTTACTGTTAAGGTCACTTCCGGTTAAACTTTTCTCCACTTCCTGTTGACCTTCAACTCTGACCTTAATAACAGGCAAGTTTGTTTGTTCTTCAGTATCTTTATGCTCAGAAGTCTGCGCAAGACGAGTCATCCCAGTTCCCATACTATGTGGATTTTCTTCCAAGACCGTAGTTATCCCGTTTTTATCCTTTTCACTGCTTTCCGGATTCAACGTTTCCTCGTTTTTATTTTTTTCACTGCTCTCTGGGCCCAACGTTTCCTCTTCTTTACCCTTTTCACCGCTTTCTGGGTGAAGAGTTTTATCGTTTTCCTCTTCTTCTCGATGATCTACAGACGTCGTTTCTGATTTTTTCCCCTCTGTACCTTTAAACTCCTAAAAAAAACCCGAATGGTTACAGATGGTTTCAACAAAGATTGCTCATTGACAATTCAATATATCCAGGTAGTTTGAAACATTACGAGAGGGGGGGGGGGTATGGCCGAATGGTTAGCATGCTGTATCATAAAGTCTGTCATTGAGTCAACTGGCGTGGTTTCGAATCCCCGGTTGCACGTGACAATGAGTAGGGTCGCCTGTCCAACCTCGTTGGTTTTCTCCGGGTCCTCCGGGTTTCCTTCCACTTCTAAAGACCCCTACGCGCAAGCGAATTATAGAAATAAAATTGAACCATGTGTTAGTCCCGAAATGAATTAGTTTGTGTCGAGTGGACGTTAAACTCCATTTCTCTCTCTTTTGAAATATTACGTGGGAGAATTGTGCCGACGATTATCGATGAGTTTAATTCCCCGAGTGAAATACAGGGTATGATGGAAATTCGTAAAATCTATCTCGAAATTAACATTAAGTCCGGTTTTGTTATGTGTTCGGGGTTTCCTGACAATCACTTCTTTTGTAATAATGTTTACAGTCAATCTACAGCAATAGAAACAAGTACGGGCGTATTCTGGACCAAACACCCAGCTTAACGTTATCCCGCCATCTTGGAATTGTGACGTTATATCTTAAAGGACAATGTTGGTGTCAGTCATTATCACATATGTGATAGAACTGGTTCAACACGTTCCAAATATAATTTTAACACCGAGACTATTTCTATTTTTCCCTTATCTAGTGACATTTAATTACTTTTTTGAATTGTACGATATCCCCTCTCAGTCTCATATAACAACTTTTAGTCTTCGAAGGAATTATTAGTGAGCAGAAATTCGCACGTGTATCTGTTATCACTTCTGTTTCTTGAAATCTTCATTACGCATCTATCGTAGCAATGATCTATGTGTTAAAATAATATTTGGAATGTGTTTAACCAGTTATCACATATGTGATGATGACTGACACCAACATTGTCCTTTAAACCGAAATCCGTCCGCCAAGTTTCATGGCGGTCATATTTAAATTGGCTAAGTCTAAGGCTGTTTTACGGATAACGTCGCCACCAACAATAACAATAAAACAACTAGATGAGTAGAGTTTGGGACCCAGTTAATGGTCTAAAAGAGTCTGTAATTTGTAGGGTTTTTTTTCCACTGACCTGATTATCGTCGTCAAGTTTAACCACGGCTACAGACACAGAAATATTTCTCTCTTCGTCTGAAAATATATAACACAGAAGTGCCTGACGCCGATGCTATTTTAACCATGTAATAAAGAAATGAAATGGGGTTTAACGTTCTACTTTTCTACACCATTCCGGCTGATGAAGACAAGACAAATATGTGGTGTGTTATGATGGCAATTTCTCCCGGACGCGGCACTATGAACTACTCTTTTCTGCCAGGGAAATTTTGCACGAACAGC